TCTATCAATAATAATAACAATCCAAAAATGTTATAGATTTCAAAGATCTCACGTGATTAATTACGTTTTAGAATTTTATTGGTTGATAATTGAATTATTTCAATTACGATTCTCCTTGTTATAATCGCAAATATCAGGGCGGGAATAATGTATAGATGAGAATGATTGTTTCAACGATGATGAGATTTATTCAATGATTTAATAAATCAAATTAAATTCTATTTAGTTATTTGTTTATTAATTAATTAAATCAAAATATTTGTGATTCTCCTTGGAAATATCATGGCTATATAGAATTATGTAGAGAATAGTTGCTTTCAATTATTATTTAACACAAAAAAAAGATTGAACATTTGCTGTGTCACGATATCCTTCCACAACCCGCAAGTCGTGCGACTTTCGTGCAGGTTTTTTGCTGATTGTCTCTTTTTACGTCTAGTCGTGCCTGGTTTTGGCGCGATCAACGTTTTCACATTTAGCAAAAATTTGTTGTATAGTAAATGTTTTGTTTTTTAAAAAATATTGCTTTGCAATGAATTGCAAAACAAAGCAAAGTAAGCAAAGCAATGCAAGCAGGTAAAATTTTTGTTTTTCAAACCTAATTTTTTGTGAAGGAATTTTTTGCTTTCAATGGGTGGTAATTTGGTAATTTCAAAAATCGATCTATGTAATTTTATTAATTGAATTGATTATTGTTTAACTAACTAAAAATGCTAAAAAACTTTTTTTTACTATTATTATCATTTGTCCTGTTTTTTTTTGGATCATACCATTGATTTGTTTATTTTTTAAGAAAGCATTATTTTGTTTAATTAATTAATTGTTGACAATTGAATTGATTATTTGTTTATTACTAAAAGTGCTTCATTCATGCCTATACATTCATTTTGCAAAGCTGGATTGCAAGCTTTGTAGATCTTGACTTAAACACTTACTTGGATCAAACCTGCCTCTATAATTATCGAATAATTGATAAAAGTTCATTTTGCAACTTGGATTGCAAGCTTCATAGATCTTGACTTTAACAATTACTTCAATCAAACCCGCCTATATGATTATTTAATAATTGATAAAGCATTCATTAAATATATTTTACAAACAGCTTCATACATAGGAGAGACTGTTCTTGTAACAAAATCACATTATACATAATTGCAAAAAATGTTTGTAGATGGTTTCCTAGAAGTAACAAAGTTTTAGTAATTAAAGGATACTGATTGTCTCTGGATGTGAATCGTCAACATTTAACAAGAATGTGTTTTTGAATATATATCTGCAACTTGCTTTTTTTTACAATCTACTGCTCTTGATGTTGTAGTTACTCCAAGACTTGTATCTACCAAGTCTAAATAGAATGCAAGTTTGAACTTAAAAGAGTTAATTTTTGTATTATTTAAAACAAGAAAAAGATAACACATGAACACCATCATTAATCTCTTCATATGGTCCATTATGTTCAATAGCCAAGCTGCTAAATAGAGTTGGTCAAAAAACCTCTTCAAGCTTGGTTCTATTACTTGGAGCAATCTTTGTATTTCATCAAAATCATATAGAGGACCTTGATGTCTCTATTGAAATCAATCTTTTCACTTACCTCTTCCTCTTCCTCTTCCTCTTCTCCTTCTGCATCTGTGGTTTTTACTCTCCTAGGTTCTCTTTTTAAAAGATTTTCTACAAAATTCATATAACAAATGTTACATAAAACAACATGTTACTTTCACTAAGTTGTTGTTCTCAGCTTCTTTCCATTTATTGTCTTTTGTTGATGAAATTTAGCTGATTCAGTGGTTTTACATTCTGTGCAATGCTTAATTTCAGGCAATTTTTCTTTGAGTAAATTGTATTATGAAAGTTGTGGGATTCAAAAGATATGATAACAACAAAGTGTAAAGCTTCAAGTTTGTGTAATTATTTACACATGATTTATTGCAAGAATGGGGCTAAATGATACCCTTGTAAAAGTATTTAAACTGTATAAAAAAAATTGAAATCAATTGTGAAAATCCATTCCTTATATAGGTCGGTCTCTCCTGTTGGTTAAAGGGGTGTTACACTTATGTTTTTAATAGTGAATGCTGTAATTAATTTCTACTTTCTACCATCAAAATTGGAATAATTTTGACCATCAAAATCACCAAATCAATTTGGGCTGCATGTATAGCCCAAACTACTTTTGTTATTAGCTGAATTGGGCAAAATTATTTTAAAGTTGTTTAAGTAAAACATGTTGATTCATATAGTTTTTAATGTTCATGCTTATAAAAAATCGCGGAAAAACTAAATATATTAATATCAAATGTTGCACAATCAACATAATAAACCAATATAAATATGTTAAGAAGCCCAAATTGCCCAAACTAGTTTGGGCTTTGAGAAAACAGTTTGGACCAGAAACCTTAGTCAAAACCACTATGAGTAATTTAAAAGATGAAGACTTTGCCAAAGCAGCAACAGAATATAAAAACAATATTTCAGAGAATGAGGAAAAGTTTGATGGTAAATCTATTTGATTATAAATAGCAGGTATAACTTTAATTTGGGCTTTATAATTGCTATTATTTAAAGGACTAAAAAGAAAAAATAAATATGCAATAATAAGATTCATTTCATATTATTTTCCTTCTAAAGATTTCTATTTTTTGTTAGATAGTAGCATGACTTCACTTTCTTTCTTTTCCAATATTTATTTTTCTCACTTCTGGTAAATTTCATAGGTGATTTTCTCTTTTCTTAGATAAGCTTCTAGTGTTTGAGTATCATTTATTTTGAAAATATAGGAGCAATTTTCTCATCTTGTTCCCTTTTCAAAATATTTCTGATTGTACTATATATAATTTTTGGATTCATGGCAGATCTGATGTAAATGAGTTTCATATTAACTATTTTTATCTATTAGATAATTCTAAGCAAAAAATAAATGTAATACAATTGTGATGTTAAATGCTATTGATCCCTGAAATTCTTGGTAATACCAATGTACCAATGTTCACTTTATCTAGTTTTGTTGCAGTATAAATAATATAGTGTGCAAATGACATATTCGCCAAAAATAAAAAATAAAAAATATATATATATGTATAGTGCAAGACACCTAATCCCGCAACTTACTGCGCCTCAGCGACGGATTTGAGAAAAAATTATGCAAAAAATTTTGATTGTCACGTGATTTTGAGTAAGCTAAGTCTCTTCACGTGACCAATACCTTTACATATTAATTGCCGATCCTTTTATAAATGGCAGAAAAATACTATTAAAATTTTGGGTAAAATCTACTATTAGTTGGACGACATTTCACAGTGACTGATTTTAATATATGATCGACATGACACGTTTTCTGTACAATGAACTTTGGCGAATGAATTGAACGTAAACTCATTATTAAACAATTTTCGTGCCTCTAAGTAAAAACAATCACTTGCCTTTGACCTTTAAAACGCGAGCTTTATGCATTTGTAGCTCTTCCAGTTATGGAGTAATAGCCTCTCAAAGAAACCTATGGTTTTTGACTTCGGAAGCTTAATTCTTTTCGGAAATCAGCTCTATTGAGATCGTTTTAGCATGATAAGACAGAGTACATTAAGAGCTTTCAGAAAATATATGATTCGGATGGTTTTCTTGGGGAAGGAAGAAATTAAAAGCAAAAAACGGTTTTATAAGTTATTTATTATTATATATAAGAGCTTTTAACAAATTTTTTTTTCGCATTACTGTTTTCTAACTTTTATTATATTAATATTAATAATGATTAGATAATATATGAAAACACAATCTTTTAATTGGAGTTTCTACTCAAAAGGTTACAAAAGAAAAAATATTTTAATATATTGATTAATATTTCAACTTAATAAATTATTAATTATTAATATAATCTTTAAATTGAACTTTTGTTTTTTTATTTTTATTGTGAAGAATTTTTAAGATAGTAGAATTAATGACAAAAATAAGAAAAACAAGATAATCTCAAAATTGAATGAACAGATAACAAAAAGGAAAACTATTAAATATTAGTATTAGGTATCAAAAATTATATTAAATGAAATTTAATTAATATATTTATTAGATTTTTTTTTTTTGTCAATATTTAATTGATTATTTGTTACATGTTAAAAATTAAATATGAAAAAAATATTTTAAATGATTATATGGCTAAACAATGTACCACTAAAGAAAAGTTTGTGATCTCACTGAGTTTTATATTAACATTATAATTTTTTTTTTTCATATTATCATACCAGTAATCTCTTAACTTTATTGTATGTTCATGAATCATGTAATTTAAATAGATCTTTCTATGTATAATAATTTTTTATTAATAAATGTAAATTAAATTGAATTATATCAGTTTGTAACTTCTGTCCTCATACATGTATATAAAAATTTAAACAATAAATGAAAAAAAAAATTTTTTTTTCAATCAATTTACACTATAATTGATAAATTAATATTTGCTGTTAATATTCCAATTTTTGGAATAAATTGACAATCTT